TTCCTGCTGCGTGGGGTGAACGTACAAAGTGGTCAGAAATTCTTCCCGGAACACACCTCTGCCCCTGTGTATTTGTTTGTGTACCCCTGATGTGTCTGGTTCACCGCGAGGGGGTGTTTTCTCTTCCCAGCTAATGCTTACCTCTTAAAAATCATGTGATTAACCCTGTTCTCTAAAATGTGTTTTTTCCAGGCTGGAAACAGTCTAGCCAACGGAAGAATAAATCGTAACACTGTTCTGAGGCACCATCATTGGTTTGCGCCCTCATAAGGTAGATGATACCTTTTTGCTATTAGCCAGTTTGAAAAAAAAAAAAGAAAGAAAAGAAAAAGGAAATATTCAAAAAAATCCCTGAAGTCTCTGAAGAAACCACTTGACTGCTCTTTGGGAGATATTAATCTGTCTTGCTGGAGCAGATTAACTGTCATCTGTGTAACCTTCATTGAAAGTTTCCACTAAGCTTTTCATTTTCTATTTCTACTTTTTTAGATCATTTCTCTGCAAATTGCTGACTTCTTCCAGCCCATCACAGTTGGGTTTTGTGTTTCAGACGGGCTGAGAATTATTAGCTCAGCAAGACATTTAAGTGAAGCTCTTAAACTACTATAATCACTAAAAGAGAAGAAGAATACACTGTGAAACAGCTATACTGTCTTCAGATCTCCAGATTAAACCTTATGGAACTTCTTGCCCTGTGTGAGACAAGGCTGCACTGCATGAAGAGCAATGCCTCTTCGAAACTGCTCCTCTTGGCCACCTGGGATGTTTTCAAACAATTTGATTACCCAGAACATCAACAGAAGCCAAAGAAAGGCTAGGGTCTGACTCTTTCCAAGTCAATGACACGACACTCAGGTTATATGTTTATAATTAAGAAGCAGTCATTTCAGCTATTTTAAGACATCAGTATCACTGAGTCTCAGCTCCTATAAATTATCACAATGTTTTTGCACCTTCATTATTCCAGTACAGTGTGTGTTTCTGCTTGTTTGCTTTTGTGTTGCTACATAATCAGGTGGGTCAAAATCCAAATGTTATACAGTATGTTTGAGATTTTGTGGTTCCAAATTAGCAGTTAGCGACTTCTCCTCTTCAGCAGCCATGCTCTTTCTGGCCAGTTTTCTGTCTGTAGCTTTGTCAGCTTCTTTTATGAATCCCTCTGTATAAACCATACTCAGAATAAACTATACTGTTTCATTCCTGTTCCACTCACTTTCAGGCAAAGAGCCAGGTCTCAGTGTAGTCAGTTTTTGCAATTGTCCCTCTCCGCAAAGGAGAAATCTTGCCATAATCATTTTTAAGCTCATGGAATAACTCTCTCTCTAGCTCTAAAGCCACTGAACACCAAAGTTGCAATTCTCCAGTCAATGCTTTCTCCTGCACTAATGAGTCCCCTGCCAAAAAGCTTCTTTTTCCCCTCTTACTGAAAAGTGTCCTACCAGTTCAGGCTTCCAATTTTATGAGGATTTTCAGCTGGGGAAAAAATCCCTTCATGGTTTTCATTCCTAGCATGGAAAAAGCTTGCTTTCATATGCTCTCTGTGAAATTTTGTGCCATGCTCCAAACCAACTTCCTTCACCCAGTTATTATAATCCATAGTCATTGCAGAACTCAGTAATGCTTACACATGCAGATGTGTAACTGTTTGTCTTTTTTTTAATCTTTTTTCCTTTTTTTTTTTTTTTAATTTATTTAATCACGCTAGAAACCTTTTCTAATCAGGCTGCTTTGAGAAACAACTGTTGCTGGACAAGGGGCAAACCTAAATGTCTTTATCTGCTGCAACAGATTCTGAACAATCCATTTTTTTCTGGAATTCTGCAAACTAAGTTATTTCTCAGAATATTTTGTCTTTGCAGGAGAAACTGTGTAAACTGAGGAGAGTTTGCTGGCTTGTAACAGGGAGCAAAGCATATAAGTTGAGCAGATAGCTTAAAGTCAGAATTAGCTACACTTATAATGGTGTACATCTCTCTGAAATCCATTATGATGTTGTACCAGTTAATTTAACATAGCAGCAAAGGAATATGCTGTTTAAGAAGTGCTAAAGAATAATGCAGTGGGATTCAAATAGGAGAACCACTTTTCCCCTCCTTGTGTAAGCTATATGGCCCAGTTTGCTGGCTTATTCTGATCCAGTTGTAGTTTGTGACTACAAACCTTTTGAAACTGCCTAACAGCTGAAGGAGAGGCAGGCTTTTTTCCACCTTGGCTCTGTCTGTACAGCTGTAAGCCGAAACAGCCATTCCAAAGTGTTCATTCCTAGCCCTCTACGAATTTCAAGTTCACAAGCCATAAAGTATACAGGAAAAACTGATTTCAGAGAGGTAAGGAAGTTTGGCCAGCAGGTACACAACATAGGAAGCAACACTACAAAAGCAGTTGGTGCAACAATTAGAAAATGATTTTTAGTAACAACCTTGGAAATGCATGGGAGCACCTCTCACGGTCTACCGGGACAACCATGCTACAAAAGTTTCTCTGAACAAAAAGCCCCTTTAGATGTTTCTTAAAAGCTCCTGATATAAAGAAATTTCCTTTTGAAAAACATGTAACTCAAGTAAAACTCAATGTTAACCTTCATAAATGGTAGCTACAGATCTTTCCAAACAGTTCCAGAGCTTACCCAACTGTATCTGTGAGACAATGATAATTTCAGCCTTAGCTGAAGTGCTCTAGCAAAACCACTTGTTCACGTTGAAAACAACATTTCTTAGCAATTAGCACTTCTAAGAGTTAATATTTACTTCTGTGTTTACATATGCCCTTCTAGGTTTTGGTTTAATTTCTACAAGTCATTTCAAGTACAGCTGGTCTCCATTACTGCAGCACATGGCAAAAACTGCTGAGTAGTAAGGAAAAAAAAAGCACAGAAACAGTTCTATATCCTACATGTACTACATGTATTAGAAAAATGGCAGAATTACATAAAATGGAATACTGTTTTATGGAAACTACTACCATAGTTTGAATTGCAGTAGCGTTCCAGTTCCTAATCTCTTGGTTGTCTAGACAGGGCACATAATGCATTGGCTTTAATGAGATATGAATTAATTTGCCTTGAAATACCTCAAAACCTCTGTAATACTTTCCAGCAGAGAAAACCTCTTACTGCTGTCCTGCCAAGTACATTGCACTCATAAAAATAAGGACTACTGTTGAAAAAAGACATACTAAAAAGAGTAGACATGTGAGTTGCAAACTATAGTATTAGTCACATCCCAGTGCTATGTCGGAAAGTCAGCTATTTGTGTGGCTGTTCAACAGGAATGTGACATCTGAGCTCAAAACTAGTAAGATAATACAAGTGGCTCCCTCAGTTTTGCCTTGAACTTCTCCATAGAACTAATCTCACCCGTTTGCTTTTCCGCTATCAAGAAAACAGAAACATTTTAATTGGAAAAGCTTCATTTCTGGCTCTCCACATGATGCAATATGAACACAAAATATGTCTA